ACTTTCCCCGTGTTATTTTGACGATTCTTTGCAGTATTATTGATCAGCTGTCCTACCTTGTTCATATAAAACAAACCGCGTGTCCCTACGATGCCCATACGCTGTGATAATGAGCGGTGAAAATCTGGCATTTTCGCCGAAAACTGTCTCGAGATCAGTCAGTTACTGTGACTGTCTCTCGAAGTGTTATAACTTCGGTAAACCTCGCGTGTTTCCGTCAATGATTGACAAATGGAATGAATGACGTCTGTTATTGATTACCATAGTGATGACCCCCATCTGTGCCCACCTCACGCCCACCTCACGCTGGATGTATAGTAAACTCTGGTAGTATGACGTGAGTCAGCGCCACTATGGCGCTACACAGCGGCGACCGGAAGCAACACACTGGCCACACTTCGAGAGAGGGTCGCAGTATTGACTAATGTCTAGTCGGTGTTCGGCGAAAATACCAGATTTTCACCGCTCATTATCTCAGCGTATGTGCATCGTAGGGACATGCGGTTTGTTTTATATGAACAAGGTAGGACAGCTGATCAATAATACTGCAAAGAATCGTCAAAATAGCACGGGGAAAGTTTATTAATTCGACTAATACTGCAACATGGTTTCATCATTTTACCGTTGTACGCTCTCCTTCTTTATATGCTCTTGACAAAATTGACGTGTCCGTTATATATTTAATATTTATCGTTAACTTACAATAAATATGAATGTGCAGCAATATATTATTTGTCCACTTTTTACAAAGTTCAATAGGTTTGGGAAAATGAAATAGAACATGTACATACATGGCCATATACTACTTAGGAGCTCTATTAACATAACACCTATAAAGCTGTTGTTAGTGTAATTAAAATACCAGTGAAAGCAATTTAATTACATTAATTAATTTTAAAAGTGAACCCAGGTGGACAGCGTAAAATAAACAAATCATTATCATATGTGACACCTATTGATACTGTATAGTTGTATTGGAAATGATTATAGAACAATAGTAAAACGTGTAGACAGTAAGGAATGTAACTATATGTTTTTTTGCAAATCGCAGGGCATCATATGGTTTTTCTTATTTTCTCAATTTGCATGAATTTCGCAGGTGGCAAAATATTTTCACCGAATAGTTAATTATAGTCTTCCTTGGTATGAGGTGTAGGTGGTGTACACACTATAGCTCATTTCTTTGATTAAAAAATTCCACGTGTGCAATATTACCATAGAAACATAAACTCAGAAACAACCAACTAGATGGTCAAAAGTCTTGATCGGCTGCGAATGACTGAAATCACCCCTTGTCCATTGGACCAAGTGAATCATGAAAGATTTTCTGGTCATTGACCAATAAGCATGTGCTGCACAATCATGCGCTTGGTCGTGTGCAGCGCCCACACGCAATAAGTGGGGCAGAAGTAGATGCGGGCATGGGTAGGAGGGGTGAGGTATAGCAAGAAGGAATGGGTTGAAAGAACGCATCGGGGGAGTCACCATCTGCATGCATGGAAGAGGACTGTATCATGCATATCTGTAAATTCGCCTAGTGATGCACCCTATTTGCAATCTTTCTGTTCACACTCACCCCACAGTGCCCCCCCCCCACTTAAACACAACTTCCACCATTTTCTTTATATGCCCCTACTCATCATTCCTCTCGTTATATATCTTACTGCATCCTGCGCCATCTCGCAAGCCAACCCCTTCTCATTATCCTTCTGTCACACGTGACTGTACATTGGGTAGTCTCACATGTCTTATGGACTTTAATAGAACTACTAATGATAGTACTAGTGAACTAGTAATAGAAGACTAGTGATAGAAAGCCATGCGTGTCGGGACTGTTGTTAGAAAATGGTGTGGTATCCCAAACCTGACAAGAGAAAGCTGCTTATCTTGTTCCTACATAATAAACAAATTTATAATATTATTAGTCCATGAATATGTATGTATATATATATATATATATATATATATATATAATTAGTGGATATGCACGCGCGTACACACGCACGAACGTACGCACGAACGCGGGTGCACACACGCACGCGCGCACGAACGCACGGAGGAAAAAATTGTGTCCTAGCTGATTGATAAACAGAGTGCTTGCTTGTTAGACTTCACGCTCTGTAGATTGCTCTGTTATCTCAATCATCGGGGATTTAGCAAATTACTATATATTACCAACATTTATAAATATTAATTTTATCGAATATTACGTCGAATATTACTATGTATGAATATGTATATATCAACAAGGCAACTCATATACGTTGTCATGACAGACGAGCAAAAAAACCGAATCTCGTACGCAGTTCTAAGCATTATAGTAGATTTATCCATGTAAAGATCATACACAATGGTTGTTAGTCATTAGAATATTAGAGAGCACTGTATTGTAGCGACCAAAATTATACTTAAATTATATTCCATTGAAATATATTTATCCTTCGCCTTCACGTCTGTGCGTACCGTCAAACCTATTGCTACAGTACAGTATATATTAAGAGTTGGGGGGGGGGGCGTAGATTTCATATTTAAACTGCAGATACCCTACTTGTGTTGCATCAGCTGCGCGCATATTTGTGACACAGTGACGCATTTCTCGAAAATGGTGTGAACAGTGTGAATAGTGTCATCCGCTTGGGAATGTCCTCTGAGGGAGCTCATTCCATTAGAGATGATAATTCACACGATTTATCTCCAATGTAGGCACTATTTATACGTTTTGCGCGCAGATCTGTCATCTGATCACGTGATCATGAGCATTAATCGCAAAGTAGTGACAGCCCATAAATTCACGTTTTCTGTCATTTTCGAACGTGCAGTTATGCGTATGTATTACATTGAGAAAAGATTTTTTTTTTTGTAGAAATCAAAAATTATATCCAGCTTCCATTTACAATATCAAATATTTACTCTGTATACGCATGTGAGTATTTATAAAGTAGGCCTACTAAACAGATATCAGACATAACAATTAATTGATTACTTTGTACGTCGGTATTCTATGGAAGTCGTTAATGTTCTATTGTTCAATTATTGGTTTTCTATTTCAGTTATTGTTTCATCCAGGAATAATTTCAAACGTTTGATGTACTAAAGGTTTTACATATATATTTGAGTATAACCACGTCCACACATCTATACAGACTTTCGTACCGCGTACCTTGCTGCCACCCTTAGCGTTTCGTACGGCTTGTCGTTCCGATTGCAAAAGCTATCGATTTTAATTGCTTTTCTGCCGCACTGTACACGTGAACTTTGTTTATAAATTACATAGTTCCACTGAGGATGTTATGTGGTCATAATTGTACTATTTTGCGCTAAAAATGCATGAGTGTGGGCATGCTCCCGCATGACCCTAGCTGACAACCGACTGCGTCGCGTGGGCTACCCCTTGAATCTACTGCCTTAGCTTCAATAATGTAGGCAGGTACTCTACAGGTGGCTTTCTCGTGTTTGTCTAAAGCACTGCAGTACATCATTTCGATCCATGGTCGATCTCGTCGTTTTTAGCTGCGACCCCCATTCAGGTCATCGTGTTTGCTCGGAGTCGGCGCCATATTGGAGAAACCACCGTTTGAGTATCATACACAGTTTTGGATGGTCACTGGTAAACCATATGCGAAAGCTTGGTCCTGAGTCTTTAGTCACGACGTGGTTATTAAATTATGGAATGGATGGTCTACATTTTTATAGCATTCGTATCTCAATAACTGTGTCGCAAAATATCACGAGCCAATTAAAGGACATTCGTGATTCGTATTCATCAAATAGGACATCGGGCACCTGTCGTCTAGTAATATTCCTGCATCGTTATTGCTAAATAGTGAAATACATTGTGGCACATAGCATTGTAACAAAGGTATATGCACGCGCTGGCGCACGCATACACTCACGCACCCAATAATTCACTGACTTACCCCACTGCTAGTACTATTGATTTAACTGAATTTAAATCAAGCGACGCACGTAGACGTGTCTACGTAGACGTGCTATCTAAAAATCGTTTTGTTAGCAGCATCTTACGTCAGGATAATTAAGGCGTCTTTCACAATAGCCACACACGCAAGCACGCACGCACACACGAACGCACGCACGTACGCATGCACGCACGCACGCACGCACGCAAGCACGCACTCTTACACGCCCGCACGCGAATTTTTTTTCCCACTTGAGTTCCGGACCCACCATAGATAGTGTTTTGTAATATATGGTTCATATATATATGGTTGGATTATAGTTAGTGTTAGGGTTCGGATACGTGTTAGGGTTAGGGTTAGGGCAAAGAGCTTATAATGATCATTATAAGCTCTTTGGTTAGGGTTAGGGATAGTGAGTATTCATTTTACATTGTTGCTTGGAATGGAGTGCGCTGATTGGCTGTGGTCCGGAACTCAAGTGGGGAAAAAAATTTCGCCGCCCGCACACAGAGACATATATACTCATTCATTCACTCACAGTATTAATCATCTCATCTGCTGTACATATCAGCTTGACTGCAGCAGCTACTGGCTAGTGCACTCCTACTCCTCTTCCTACCACGTCCACCTTCCTTGAACTTACAGTTACACTCTCCCTCTTAATTTTATTCTTTGTATATCCTTCACTATTACTGTCATTCACACACAGTGTCTTGCTCCCACTGTCACACACTTGTCACGTATATTATATCAATTCCCCTGCTGCCGTAGCACCAATTTATGTGTGGTCTATCTCTCAAGTTGATGCTAAACTCGGTCTAAATTAGGGTCATGCTAACATTTCTTCCTAGAGAACATGGAAACGGAAAAAAGCAGATGGTAAAATACAGCTGTCGTGTGTGTATATTAAAGTAAAATGTTTTGATTTGTAGAAGCATTGTGAAACAGCAGCAACAACAGCAGAAGCCAGCTGCGCCAGTCATTTTCCATTGTATGATTCGAAGGCACTGTGAAAGTCCCTTCACACGTGCTGTGGTCATAACTGAGCCAGTCACGTCAACAGCTTTTCTGTTTTTGTTCTAGAGGTGACAGTATTCACAGCATGCAGATTTTTCCGTGAAAGGCATGCCTTCTAAGATTCCAGCTACACAGATCTGTGCAGGCCCTCCTTCAACGCTCAACCCTAGTGAAGAAGCAAGTGTGGACAGTTGCGAAGGCCTGTCGCCTGCTGGCTCACCAGTCAATAATGACACGCATTCAGTTCAACAACTGCCTGACTTCTCGCCAAATGAGAGGAAACCCCGAATTGTTTCCATGGCTTCGAACCCCGACGATGACATCGTAACGCATGGAATCGATTGCAAGTGCTGCCCGAGGTCCCCTGAACATCTGAGAAAAAATAGTAACACGAGCCCAACCAGTAAGGACTCTGGTGGTTTATTGGATATCTGTAAAAGCGTTGACCAGGTTTATGTATCTGATGTTAAGCATGGTTCGAATGGTAAGGAAATAGAGACCTCTTCAGGTACAGCCGACACAGAGAGTGCTAGTAGTAGTGGATGTAATAGTCCCAAGCCAGGTAAAACAGAGAAGCAAACAGGATCTAGAAGCCCATTTCCATCACCAAAGCGAATCATTAAAAGTATTTCAAGAAAGGAGAGTTCAGGTAGGTCAGATGGCAGGAATGCTATCATGTCCGGAAGAGAAGATACACAGTCTACAAAAGGAATCAAGAAATCACCAGGACCAAGAAATGGTGATTCAAGAAGTAGCGGGTCCGGTATAATAGACCACTTAAGTGAGATGGTAACTTCTTTCAAATTCCTTAAACACCCGAAAAGCCCCAAGAGCCCCAAGAGCCCCAAGAGCCCAAAGAGTCCGAAAAGCCCTAAGAATTCCAAAGACAGTAAAACGGCTCCTGCTACACGCCATATGAAATTCGTTTACGATGACAACTCTGCTGGAATTGCCAAAGATAAGCAGCGAAAATTGAATGACTATCACGAGATGCCATATCACCAGGAGCAGCTACCAGAATCAGTAAATAGTAATATTATCAACGTGAAGAAGCTAGATGGGGACGAAGGTTGTCACAGTAAATCTAGTAAGACTTGCAGCCCACTAGCTAGCAGAGAGCGGTCACGCTCCAAGAGCCCTGGAGTCAAGACGACGATAACGATAACCTTTGACAAATGCAAAGGTAAGACCAGTCCAGACAACGGACTTGACTCCCCAAAGAGTGTCGATGAGTCACTTACCAAAAAGCCATATAAGTGCACAGACCTCGATGCTGTTGAGCAACAGCTAAAAAATTGTGTAGACAGCTGCTCTTCAGAGAAATCTGCCTCTCCTCCACCTCCAGAGAAAAGTTATGATCGTGATATGCCAGGCCCTGAAAATACAGCACTGTCACAAGCACATGAGAGCCAGTTGTCCGAGTACGTTTCTAATAATAAGATTGAATCTGAGCCTGAGCCGCATCCTTTTAGCCGATACCAGCTGATTGCTGGTTCAAACACCATCAAAACGATTAGGCCAAGGCAGCTGCCTGTGCCACCGGAAACACTTGCAGCAGTGTCTAGTAACAGTAAGCTACCTATTACTGCTCACCCGCAAGCAACTTTTTCGCACGCACAGATAGGCAGTAATGGAGACACCGATCATGAAACTAGCGCTGGAAAAGCCGGTCTGCCTTCGCTAGATGAAGTGAAGCAGCTTAACTACACTGTTGTTGACGTTTCGAAGTTTGAGCCTAAGCATCCGCCGATTGCGGTTAAGCCCAGTAGTCTCAGTAGATATGGTATTGCACACAGACCTGATCGACAGTCACGCCGTGACAAGTATGACCGTGCTTCAGAAGATCAGAAACTTACACCCGTGGAGTGTGGGGTTACATCTCGACCTACCCCATCAGGTGGCCGGCCAAGTGGTGATAGTTTTCAGTGGGGAGCAAACTCACGATCGTCACTTCCACAACAGAAGAAGTCTGTAAATTTTGAGGATCTTGACGTTGCTAATCAGTGGCAACAGGAAGCTAGAGATAATGAAAATTCATTTGTTCGTGGTGGGTATGAAAGGTCGACAATGCCTGAACCTCGAAAGCAGTCACATCAGCAGCAACACCACCAGCAGCATTGGCAACAACAACAACAACAACAACAACAACAACAACAACAAGAAAATGATCACCAGCAGCTGTACCACCTCCAGCAAAGCCAACACCAGCCAGTGTATGATCAACAGCAACTGAATCAATCAAACTGGAAACGAGTAGATCCAGTCAAACTGGTACACCCTAGTGCACACAGGCGGCCAATATCTACACCGCGCGTGACAATCGACTCGCGCGGAAAAGTGATGTCACCATTGACGAGCATTAATGAGGAATCCCCAAGGCACCCATTGAGTACAGCACAGGCATCGAGCTATCACATCTATGATACTCCCTACTCAAGCGTCGAGTGGAGTAATCAAAATTATGGCTGCATGTCAAAAAGCTATCCGCAACCCAGTAGAGACTACATGAATGCGGACGTTGTGAACTTGCACGAAAATTATAGAGAGAGACAAGTGCCACTTCGCAGCGTCAGCATGCGACTAGACCAGCCGGAGTGCATCTTCGACACTCAACGCGATATTCTGGTCAGGTCGCAGTCATTCAGCCCACACAGCACTAGACCCGGCATGGAGAACACAGACGAGAACATGTCCTTGAGTCCATCACGTGACAGAGCCAGCATAAGAGCTTCCTCTGGTCCGCTTGCACTTGTAGATCGGGGAGAATCTCAACCAGGAGCAAGAATGCGAATCTCTCATGGTGGCCACGTGAAAATCGGTGGTGCGGATACCGAGAATCGTAAGGTATGCTTGCCACGCAACCAGCCACATTACAGCTATGTGAGCAGACTGGGAGCAACCCCCTATGCAGTCGGGGACGAGCCGACGTACGTTAATCTTAGAACTGAGCGGTCTGGCTACCTGCCTCCAAGGACGCGGTCGGGTTTCCCTCCTCGCAGTGAATCTCCGTTACAAGATAGAAGCAATCACTTTGGTACGGATGCACACAGCAGAATGGCCCGCCCTTCGGGCAACTTCCAGAGAAATGACAGTGGGGAGGGCAGCACGCCCGAGCAGCGTGCAGAATCAACGCCCTCTGGTGCCAGCGAGTGCAATCCCGACAGTGGCATTGACAGTCCAAGGTCAGGTTCCCAGCAGTCTTTCAGGTCGCAATCTCAGCAATCTAACCACAGCGACAAGAGGGACGGATCATGGATACCTCTCACGTACAGTAGCCTGAAGGTAGGATTGGCAGTGTATCATTGTGATTCCAATGTAAGCATCAATGGGTGTGAGTGATCCAGCTATCTTGTCTGTGAGGCCAGTTTTTACTATATTATATACTTCATGAATATACTACTTGGTCGCTAATGGGCAGTAAGGCATTAGAAGGCATTCTGAATTACCAATCAGGTTTATTATCTTTCAAAATTTCGGAAGGGCATGTTTGTGACGAGGCATATAGACGATATACTCCACCCTTGGATATCACTTTCATCAATATATTGATGTAGCATCATTTATATATTAGTAAAATGCCAATGGTAGTGTTATGCCAGTATTAGATAGGCTTCTTCTAAGCAAGTTTAACATAACAAACGTACAAGTGCTGGTATATGTTCTCTCAGGTTCAGACTATTTCTAATGATGAAGGAAGCACAGGTCAGAGGGAAGACAGCCAAGCCGGGAGACCATCAGCCCACCTGAACAAATGTCCGAAAGGTAGGACTGGCTTTCTTTTTGGAAATTACTGGGTGTCATTGTATCATTGCGTTTGAAGTAGGTTAGTCGAATCATTTGGAATAGACGAATGATCGCATCAGCCATGTAGTAACATGAGAAATGAACACAAGCACAGAAATGACCGCGATCACAAAATTTGACCGCGATTGATGATGAGATCACAAAAGCACCCACACCATTATGATGTGTTTCTCCACCATCGAGAATGTGGATTATGTTCGTCTGTGCTGCTGTATACAACACACACCTGTATGCAGCAGACAAGCCGCGTGCCACGATACGAAGAAATAGATTGATACAGCATTACTGTATTTTGCCTTGATTAAGTCATCACCTGCCTGCTACACAGGTAGGCTACTTGGTGCACAGGCACTTGGAATGTCTCAATAAAAAAGGTAAATAAACACGAAATGTATTTACTACCAAAGTCTTAATGTTTCTCTACTCTATTTCGTCTATTATTGCCGATAATTACCTGTAAATGCCGGTCAAATTCTCATCTGCAACACACAAGTACACCGCACGCACGCCCTGTGCACAAACAAGAAGAAGAAGAGAGTTCTCTTCTTAATTCTTCTTGTTCTCTTTTCTTCTTCTTCTTCTTGTTCTTCTTCTTGTTCTACTTCTTGTTGTTTGTGCACAGGGCGTGCGTGCGGTGTATACTTATGTGTTGCAGATGAGCATTTGACCGGCATTTATATGTAATTATCGGTAATAATAGGCGAAATAAAGTAGAGAAACATTAAGACTTTGGTAGTAAATAGATTTCGTGTTTATTTACCATTATTTTTTTATTGAGACGTTCCAAGTGCCTGTGACTTGGTGCACATTGGAGAATTTATGTAAAAGGCACGTTGAAAGTCAGAGTAGCGAGACAAGTTTACCTCGCCAACTTACACTACACCTGTCTTTACATGGTACGTACGTATGATGCACGTACGTCCCCCCAATAGCCGTACCGTGTATACATGCGTGTGCGTGCGTGTGTGTGTGCGCGCGTGCGTGCGTGCGTGCGTGCGTGCGTGCGTGCGTGCGTGTGCGCGTGCGTGCGTGCGTGCGTGTGTGCGTGTGTGTGTATGTATAAATATAGTCTTTCCTATAAGCACCAATTGCCAAGCATGATGGTTGTCCACCTACCAATAGCGCCAACATGATGTTGGTTACATATATATTGTATCCTGATGTAGCCAAAAACTTTTTTAAAGTTTAGTGCCAGAGTCCAATAGAATGCATAATTCTGTCTTATTTTTACAATTTACTTTGGGGAGTATGCCCCCAAACGCCACCTAGCAAGGCCGCACGGGAATGCCGCTTGCTAGGGCATTCGTGCGATCTCCTGTTTACTTTTCTTGTACTGTCTTTTACTCTAAATATTATTGAAAAGCTTGCCAAGGTTTACAGCTAGTAGCTGTGACTGCAAATCTAACTGCAATGGCCTTATGCGGCTAAAGTAAACGCGCCGAGGCGCTGAAAGTATCCAGAGGCCCGCTAAATCAGTGCAGGGTCGTTGTCAACGGCCAGACGCGATGCCATGTAGCTCGGCTTTGTTGCTCATTTCCCTTCAGATGGTTGAAGCATTGCTAAAATCATTATATTCTCCGCAGTCTGCACCTGGTGCGACTGTCACAGCACCACGTCCCGTGCTTTGTGACAGATTCCATTCGGCGGACATTTTATTTATCTCATAATAGATCTGGCATATCCAAAGGATGCTTGGGAATAATTAGCAATATTTCGCACATCAACATTCTATAGGAACGTTATGAAAGGAATTTGCCCTTTATGAGCTGATGTCATGTGTAAGCGCGAGTGTTTAGACCGTTGGTTTTGTAAAACCTGCCATGCCGCTGGTGCCCGAATCGATAGCATAATTGAGAAGTGAAATAATCCTATACCCGCGTATGTACCTACTGCATCAAAGGGAGACCGCCGTAAAACACTGACCGTAGCTGTTTGATAGAAATCGAGTACCTGTCTAAAACAGCTCGTCGTGGTATGGTGGAAACATCCTTATCTCGTTAGCAGTCAACCGTTTATAAACGTGGCTCTCACTCTTTCATTTTCATATACATTATGTTTTATTACACATACATTGTGACTGTATAATTTTCAATTACATTTGGTAGTAGTCTAATAGTGCCTTTGTTTAAGGCAATGTATTCATCGCATACAGGTACAGTGACTAAATCACAATTGGTCATAACTAAGGCTGAGAGGGTCTATGTCCCCCGGGGTACTGCCGGAACGTACCCTGGGTACGGTCCGGTATACCGAAACGTACCCTGGTACTATCTAAAATGCCGGACCGTACCTCGCCTACTCCAATAACGAGTCTAGGGAGTCGCCTACGCCTACTCCCTAACCCTAACCCTAACCCTAAACCTAACCCTAACCCTAACCCTAATCCTAACCCTAACCATATCAAATAGTGACCAGGGTACGTTCCGGCAGTACCCTGGGGGACATAGACCCTATCAGCATAACTAAGTTCATTTGTGTACGATTAAACATCGAGTAGTGAATAAACTACATTTAGAATGGTTCAACGATTTTGTCAATCAAATTTGGATTCTAACAATAATATGTGTGTGGCTAGCATACATTCCCCACAAGCACAAAGGTTACCTCACGCAGCAAAAGTATGTTAAATATGTTTATGATGTTAAGTAAAATTCGGCCATTATTCGTGACAACACAGACGAGTTTTCTAACTATGACATAAGCACACTTGATTTTCCAGCCAGAGTGTGCTATAGGCAGTTAGGCGAGTAAACCTTCTCGTAACGTATGGGTTTTTTTCTTTTCATAAAAATATTTCACAAAGCTAGAATGTCTCATTGAAACTAGAAGAAACGAGTATATAATCTTTTACACTTTAATTCATGTGACTGATCAGTTGCTAATGACAATTTGATTTTCCATTTGACATGTCCATTTATCGATTTGCAGTCATACGTTTTATACAGCATTAATGGCGATCAGAATACGTAATACAGTTAAGCAGCCAGTTCCTGATTAAAAGGTTGCAGATGGCCTATTTCCGGACATTCATTTAGAAAAGTTAACTGCGTATTATATCATTCAGTTTTATTGTGTTCGTATTATTTACATTTGATTACCCGCTATGCTGCATATACTATGTAATTGAATATTCTGAATCCATGTTAGCAGAATGCTTGCAATCGCCGTATAGTGCAATGTCGCTATTGCGCGTGTGTGTGTATGTGTGTGTGTGGGGGGAGGGGGTGCGTGCGTGCGTGCGTGTATTTGTGGGTGTGCACGTGTGCGCCTGCGTGTGCGTTTGCGTGTGCGTGTAAATTGCAATAGCTATCTTTCAGTGGCATATTCGATTCATTGCGGCACATTGTGCTATGTTTCGTAGGTAAGTTAAGTAGTAATTGTATTATTGTGAAGATTTTATTTCCGCATATGTAGTCCTGTGTAGTCCATGTGTAGTCTTGTGCAGCGCTACAACTAAACCGCTCATTCCATAGGCTGTTCAGCTACATATTATCATACCCAGCATGTCCCTTGACGCAGAGTGTTTGGTAATGAATAATCGCTCAATTAGCACACATAAGAAAATTATGATAAACAAAGGTGTCATAAGAAGAGTAATCAATATGCCCAAACTGTTCTCGTCGACGTCTCTGGCTGGCGGATGTGTGTGTTGCATAAATAGTATGAGAACACAAAGCAAGTAGGATGCTACAAGGGGAGTGACAGACATATCTTTACGAGGGAGTCATCTGACGTGATTCAGAAAGATCTGCCACATGTGCGATGCATGCTTCGATGGCAAAAGCTCCATGTTCTATCATGCGTTTACCGCATCCATCTAACGCGGCACGTTCTGAAGCAGGAAGCAGTGTTCCATCCACTGTGCTTCTAATGCAGGAAACACTGCTCCACCCAGCGTAAGCTGGAAGCCTTGTCGCATCTGCCACGCTCTGATAGTAGAGCAGAGTACATAGCTGAGTCTACCTTGCTTTGCTTTTAACGCAGGAAGCCCTAGTGTATGAACACCCGACTTTGTCTTCATAGCAGATGCCCTGCTGTATCGCGCATTGCGGCCCCCATGAATCAGGCACCCTTGTTCACTACGCACCGGATAACGACCAGTGGATCAGTATGGCGCGCCGAACAACTCATTTTGAGATGACAGATTCTCGACGATATGCTTCGTAATCAGTGGAAAGCGTAGCGCATGTTATGCATTGCTAGCAAATCTAGGAGCACAGTCATTTTCTACCATACATCGCTTTGTACACGGCAATTCGTTTTTGAATACTGAGTCGGAGCCGTGCTTTAGGTAGTCCTTTTTGCCACGTAGACAGCCGTGGTATATCTTTGCCCTTATACTTACCCATTTGCTTACCCTCGTACCAATGGTTTTACCTATACTGCACTGTGCACATACCCACATCTGACCCGTGTAGCTTCGTATGTATATGGAACGTGACACCTAAATTTCCTCTGTGTAGACAAACCACTCTGCGAAATTAAATTGTCTGTTTGAAAGATGCAATATGTTAATCTAGTTATATATGGAATAATGCAATTTGGTGTGTGTGCGTGCGGTGCGTGCGTGTGTGTGTGGACGAGATAAACTGGTGTAGTTAATCCAACGATTTTATGCCGCATTTCCTTCTATTTCGCTATTCCTTTTGATTATTGCAATTGAGCCATTACTCAGTATGGAGTCAAACGTTGAATCATTAATTTTCACATGCATTCGGAATCTGAATACATTAAATGGAGGGTCACACACTCCACACATAATCATAATCGTGAATCATGCACCTTGTGCTTTTGTCCTCATGCTAATGATAGCCGCTAGCTGATGTTTCGTGTGTGTATATA